TTATAAGTGAAATGCCGGTTTTCTTCGCTTTATTTTTCTTTATTTTCACTTAGACGTGCATATAATATGTGAATTGTCCTTCCACTCACATTCTGCTCAACTCCACTGAAGCAAGCAATTACCCACGTACCAGGAAGAATGCTCGGAATGTGGGTACAAGTGCCGGAGACGTTCATCTTACCTCAATGAGCGCGCTAATAGCATCAATTATTTTTTTAAGAAAGTTAATGCTGCAGACACCAGTGCGTGTAATTACTTTTTAGCACAGATATTCTAAATGGTGTAAGGACAGAACGAGCGGGTTGGTATGGATAGTTAAACTTGAGGAATAAAACAAGAAAGTACAGACAAACACAAACTTCCAACTGGCAACAACATTTAATAACACCACGAGTTTGCTTATATACAGAAAAAAGGGGGGTGAAAAAAGGGTGGAAAGGAGGAGCACTATGCCGTCAAGGGTGCTTCGTTGCTGTCGGGAACGGGGGGGGGGGGAGAGATAGCTCCGAACTAAGGAATCTTATCTCTTTGCCCGAAATCTTATCTCTTTCCCCGACGATGCACCCCTGACGGCATAGTGCTCCTCCTTTCCACCCCTTTTTTCACCCCCTTTTTCCTGTATATAAGCAAACTTTTTGTGTTATTAAATGTTGTTGCCAGTTGGAAGTTTGCGTTTGTCCATCCTTTCTCGTTTTTTTCCTCAAGTTTAACTATTCTAAATGGTGTTTGAGTAATTTAGCAAAACTTCTATAGGCCCTACCAGAAAGGCGCATCTCGTCAGTGCCGTGTTTAGCATTTGTGCATGTGGCGCGTACTTGCGTTCCGAAGTGACGAACGTGAGCATGCTCAACTGTGACCCAAAACATGTGGACTGTGATACTTATGAACAATAAAGGAACCGCATTTGTGTGAGCTAAACGGCACGTTGCTGTTCATGAAGGTCGTGCTAAAATGGCAATTAAAAGAACTCCTCAACCACCAAGCCAAATATCATCAAAGAGCAATGACATGCGTATAAAATACACAAATACACTATCCATCTCTAAGCAAAAAATAGTGGCTAGGAGATTAAATGGTGCCTAAAGTACAAAGCTTTATTAAAAAATTAAAAATTTACATTAAGGCAACAGAAATAGAAGGATTATTAGAGCTCTTTTTTCAGAGTAGGAGTAGAATGCAACGCGTTCAAGCACTCATTCGGAGAGCACATAGGGAAACAAACTAATTCCGTATCAAACCTAAAATTTTGAGTTCTGCACAACGTCCAACAGTGGTAAATTTACACGACGGCATTTATTTTTTCATTGTTTAAAAAAAAGTTTCAACCCTATTTGTTTTGTTGAAACGTTCTTTAACTGTGAACTATTTAGCAATAGAATAAAATAATGGCGCTTTCACCGTCTCGTCTGCGAGAGACAATTGCACGCCAACCATTCAAACACATGACAGGCAATGGCTTTATTGTATAATAATGAATCTCAATACCTGCTTCCCAAACCTCTGCAATACAAGAAACAAATAGCGGTGTCTCGAAAGTCCTTCCTAAACTCAGACTTTAACTTCGCTTAGACGATTCACTCCTCGTGTATAACAGAGCGAATGAATGATTGGAACCTCGAGACTAGCCCGAGCTGAATGCGAAGGCTTCCGTCCTTCGAAGCTCGTGATTAGGCTCCCTACTAAAGCGTTTTTGAAGAACAAAAATCACTGGAGCAGCTGTGAAGAAAACGGTTGGCTGCGCCAAAAGACGACTAGTGCTAGAATGTGCACTATTTTCCTTTATTTTAATAACACTCATCTGTGTGGTACTGAGTCATGGATTACCATTCTTGAAGCTTTCTCGACTACAGAAGGATACTGATTTCTCAGCACTCGACTTTTAAATTATTTTGACCATAGAAGCGATTGTTTTATGTGACACTAGTTCTGTCGGCACGCAGTTCACGTGAAAGCACATTACTGTGGTTCGCCTCCACCGCCGGCGGGAAAGCAGTGGTTTCTCCACAAAAACAAAGACAAAAGATCAGTTTCTTTCCCTCTAAATTTGAGCAATCTACCTGGGAGCACTGATCGCTACCTTCTGCAGAGGAACTTCTGACATGGGAGCTAAAAAAAAATATTAATCTTGGTATTTGGCGACCCGGAAAGAAGCTTCGTGATTTCCCAGGTCGCTCGTCAGCTTTCCCGCAACTGATCGTTCATGAGTGGAAAAAAAGTAGATTTGGCCATTTTGCCAGTAGAAAGTCGAGTCCTGAGAATATTGCTGCCGGCGTAATTTGAAACTTTAAGAACTTTACGGAAAATATTTCTTATATAATGTTTTAAAGCAATGCATTGATAAAAGGTTATTGATACGGTATGCAAAAAAAAAATTGATTCTTGCACCCATCAGGAGGCCATCTTAATCAAGTTGAAAACGCGTGACATTGTATATGTATTGTAGTTGCATGATGTTTCAAGTACTCCCTGCATAATGCCTAACGGCGCTGCAGGTATTCAAGTCAACAAAAAAATTATATTTTCATTGGCTGATGCTTTAATGAAAAAGGTTTTCATATTCTTTTGTATTAAAACGTTAAAAAAGGAACTGACGATTTATACAAATTTATTTATGTTTTTCTTTTGCTAAGATAGCTGTTGTGTAAATTTTTGTTTTATAAATATAGCTCCAGTTCGGTGACATGACCAGAAGTTTCTCTCGAGAATATGTTTTGCGTGGTGGCGTTCCTCTTAGGCCGACCTGCAGAATCTTCGTTTGACTGGCAGAAAACCGCTCCTAAGTTTCCTTTTCTCAATTCCCTCTCGTGCTCCTTTCTCCTCTTCTCCACACAGCAGCGGGCCTCTGAGCTGCTTCCCGCAGAAGGCAGGAGGATATCTCCTTCAATCCCGAAGAGTAAACAATTATTGAGAAAGTTTCCTTCTCTCCTCACGTTGGTCGGCCTTTAATGCGTTAACATTAGAACGCTCGTTTTGACAAAAACATGTCTGTGTCTGTCGTTTGTTGGCGCCTAAGAGAGAGGGAGAGGAGAGGAAGAGGGTGACGCACGCGACGCTCTCATTGGTCCGAAGCACCGACGTCAGCACGCGTCAACCTCTCCTCTCTCCTCGGCGCTAACACACTGACTGACACCGCCGAGTTCTAGTCAAAACAAGCCATTTCGTTTTCGTCAAGGTCACGCTCACAGCTGGCGCGGAGCCAGAAAGGAGGACGCGCCGCGGCGCGGTAGCATGCGAATGTTTCCAGTCAGTCCCTGCTACATAAAAAAGCCTGACTGCTGAATTTTCCTGCGTCACTAAAGAAGGACACCGTCAGTCGCAGATACAGCTCAACTACTGCATCAAATTTCGGCATGAACTCGTGTTTTCACTGTTTGCACACAAGTTACAACCGAACGATGACGCAGCACTCCTCTCCAAACTGTGGACTACGGTGACCTTCTTTAGTGGCACAGTAAACTTCAGCACTTAGGCTCTCTTATCTAGGAGGTGTTGACTCAGTTGCCGCTCTGCCGTCACCTGTTGTTCTTCAATCTCAGTTTCCGTACCTAGCGGTGCGTGGGCTGTGATGTGTGCGTGTAGGTAAAACGATGGAAGTGGCTCCCTGGAAGAGTGATAGGATAGCGGTTCTTTGCACAAGTGGTATGAGTTGGGTTCTTTCCACGAGTTATATGAATGACCATATCTAAGAGTGTGGACGTAGAGTGCAGAAAAAGGGCGACAAAAGGGCAAGATCCGTTTGTAGATTCTTATGAAATGTGTTAGTATTACCATTGGGAAAGGCTGTAATGATGTCATCAATGCGGCGACAAAAAAGAGGAAGAAAATCGGAGGAGACGAACGGAGAAAAGAGGAAGAAAGAGAAGTGGGGGAACCAGGAGATTTGGGCCGAGAGCGGACGCATTCGGAAAAGCTTGGCTCCGGTATACACCGGCGAAGCTGTCATCGATAGAAGTCTGCCGAGCTGTCCTCACCACCAAAACTGAACTGCAAGCCTGGCTCAAGAGCGAACCGGCAAAGTCATCCCAACAACCTGTTGGCTGATCACCATCGGTGCGCTGACAGCTGGAGCCAAACGAGCCCGGCTTCCACCACCGGTCAAGGCGCCTAAACCTAGCGCAAGCCAGTGCCAAGCTCGGCAAGTCGGACTTTGGACGTACGCCCCTTTCTTTTATTGACTTTCTAATAAGTTTCCTTTTTTTTCGTGGATTCGGAAAGTAGAACATTAACTGGGTGCAAATATATTTCTTTCATATCAAATATCAGACGGACCTTTCAGTTTCCTTTCTTTTTACCATAAAGAACCTGACAATAACTGGCGTCCGCGACAGGACACTGATGATCATCCGTCTGGTTTTTGCTACAACATATAAGTTATGGATTTAAAGGAGTTGATGGCCCTAGGTGAAAAGCTGGGGATTACGGGAACAGAATTACGAACATGGGTTGATCAAAAACGAGCTCTGCAAAGAGAGGACAGAGTGGCCGAACGAGAAGCTCTCCGACAGAAAGCGGAACTGGAGGAAAAATCGGAGAGAACGCTCCAGCTTAAGCTTAGGTTGATTGAGGCCGAGGGGTCGGCAAGTGACAGGCATGGTGCAGGCGGTGGTGAAGGACCCCAAAGAGTTACTGCGTCACAGTATATCAGTCCCCATAAGCTAATGCTGTCGTTTGACGACCAAAGAGATAACTTGGATGCGTACCTGAAAAGATGTGAGGTTTTAGCCATGGGACAGGAGTGGCCAAGAGGAAAGTGGGCCACTGCATTAAGCCTCTGCTTGGTGGGTGAGGCCCTAAAGGCATTGGGAAGGATGTCCCCGGACGACTCCTTAGATTATGAGAAAGTAAAGATGGCACTTTTACAGCGGTTTCGCTTTACAACCGAAGGATATCGCGAAAGATTCTGAGGAAGCTCTCCAAATGACGGCGAGACAGGCAGCCATTACGCCGCGAGGCTAGAGGGATTATTCGATCGCTGGGTGAAGAAGGGCCTTCGTCCCAAAATGTGCGGCGATCTGCGGGACCTTGTGATCGCAGAACAGTTCATCAACGGCTGTCATTTAAAGCTGGCTGTGTTCCTCAAGGAGCGGAGTTGCAATACACTTCCCTTGATGGCCGCGGCAGCGGATAAGCTCATGGAAGCGCACAGGCAAGACAATCTGGCTCACTTCAAAGAGGACCATAGCCAGAGGAATAATGATTTAAAGAGTGACCTGCCAAGTATCAACCAAGAAACAAAAATCAGGTGTTTCTTGTGCGGCAGAGTTGGTCACCGAGCGACCGATTGCGTGTCCAGAACAGAACAGCGACACCTAGTATGTCAAGTTAGTCAGAGATCGGGACACGATGCCAAAGCATGCTTTCAGCGGAAGGGCGGAAAAACTCAGCTCTCATGCTTTATGGTACCTGAATCTGGAAGTACAGGATGCGAGTGTGAAGAAAGTCACTTGCATAACGATGAAACGCACGGTGTGGAGCATATCAACGAAGCACTCGTGACTGTGGTGTGCGATAAAATGGAGCAACAACCAAAGAGACGCATGCCAGTAGAACAAGGACTACTAGACGGACAACCCGCTAAGGTGTTACGAGATACTGGCTGCAACGCCGTTATCGTACGGAGAAAGTTGGTTGGTCCTCAGCGCCTGACGGGCAAACAACGCAAAGTGGTCCTAGTAGACGAAACATGCAGGTTGTTTCCAGAAGCAATCGTTAGAATTGAGTCGCCATACTTTACTAGAGAGGTAGTAGCAAAATGTATGGACGAGCCACTTTATGATGTAATTATTGGCAACGTTCAGGGAGCCAAGGAGGTATTAGACCTCGATCCAAACGGGAGAAGTGGGGATGAGGATGATGCAGCAAAGATCTTGCAACTGGACAGGAACATACTCGCCGCACTGAAGAGCCATGTTCCTGCAACTCCAAATCCCACACCCAGCGTCGGGATTGAAGATGTCACGAAAGGCGTCATTGAAAGAGAACAGTTAAAAGACACGTCATTAGATATCTGCCGCGGAAGGATTGCCGACACTCACGTGACAAAAGGGGGCAACACCTACAATTTTCATTTAGGCGAGGGAGTTCTCTTCCGCAGTTGCCTCCTCACAAACGGGAAGGAGTTCCGCCAAGTGGTGGTCCCCAGAACGTTGCGCCACCATATCCTCAGTCTGGCTCATGATATCGTAATGGCAGGCCACCAGAGTATCAAGCGTACGAGTGACAGAGTCCTAGAATCCTTTTATTGGCCCGGAGTCTTAGCAGATGTTAAGCGGTTTGTGCGTTCGTGTGACCTGTGCCAGAGAACGATTCCTAAAGGAATGGTGTCGAACGCACCTATGGGGTGCATGCCCATCATTGAGACACCTTTCGAACGAGTTTCTATCGACCTCATTGGACCGCTGTCGCCCACTTCTAAGAATGAGAATCAGTTCATACTCACCCTAGTGGATTTTGCGACTGGATACCCAGAGGCCGTCGCCCTACCGTCCACTGACTCAGAGACAGTAGCGGAAGGGTTAATCGAAATTTTGTCCAGAGTGGGTCTACCAAGTGAGATTATTTCTGACAAGGCTACGAGCTTTACCTCGGAGTTGATGAATGAGGTAACGGAGCTGCTCTCGATCAAGCACTTATTGTCTGCCCCTTACCATTCCAAGTGCAATGGTCTGGTCGAATACTATCACGGTACGCTCAGGCCAATGCTGAAAAAGATGTGCGAAGAGAAACCTCAGTCTTGGGATGAATACTTGGCTCCGGTGCTCTTGGCCTATCGCGAAGCACCACAGGCGAGTATAGGTTTTTCTCCTTTTGAGTTGATTTATGGACGACACGGACGAGGCCCATTGTCGGTTCTGAAAGAAATCTGGACGGAAGTAACAATCAGCCCGGAGCTGAAGACGACATATTGCTACGTCTTAGAGCTACATAGTCGGTTAGAGCAAACAATTGAATTAACTCACCAGAAGCTGGGGGAAACACAACAGAGTCAAAAGCGACATGATGACCGCAACGCGAGAGGCCGACAATCAAAAGTAGGAGATCGGGCCCTGAACTTGCTACCTACCAGCCATAACAAATTGCTTATGCAATGGAAAGGTCCCTTTCCCGTGGTCGAAAAGAAAAGCGAGGTCGACTACAAGTTAAATTTAGGTCATACAATGTTTTTCATATAAATATGTTAAAGCGGGCACTTGCGGAATTGCCTATTCTTAAAAGTGCAGACTTCTCAAAAGAGTTTGTCCTAAGAACTGATGCCGCCGAACACAGCTTGGGGGCGGTGCTTATGCAAGAACATGAGGGGACACTGCATCCTTTAGCGTACTCCCGTAAGCGACTCCTTCCGAGAGAGGACAACTTTTCTGCGATTGAGACAGAGTGCCTGGCACTCGTAGGGCGGTGGAAAAGTTTCATCCGTACTTATACGGTAGGCATTTCGTGGCGCAAACAGACCATCAGCCGCTTCATTACTTAGACAAAGCAAAGCAACTCAAGAGTCGCGCGCTCCACTAAAGTTCGTTGTTGCAACAATATTCCTTTCGAATGGAACACATGTAGCACACCTAAAGCGTAGGCTGATTCCATTGGTTGGTTGTGATTTTTGTACTTGACAAAGGAACACATCATTACGAATTTTTGGTTTTTTTTTTAAGAAAAAAAACTTAAAAGGGGGGCCATTGTAAGGATGTCATCAATACGGCGACAAAAAAAGAGGAAGAAAATCGGAGGAGACTAACGGAGAAAAGAGGAAGAAAGAGAAGTGGGGGGAACGAGGAGATTGGGGCTGAGAGCGGACGCATTCGGAAAAGCTTGGCTCCGGTATACACCGGCGAAGCTGTCATCGATAGAAGTCTGCCGAGCTGTCCTCACCGCCAAAACTGAACTGCAAGCCTGGCTGAACAGCGAACCGGCAAAGTCATCCCAAAAACCGGTTGGCTGATCACCATCGGTGCGCTGACAGCTGGAGCCAAACGAGCCCGGCTTCCACCACCGGTCAAGGCGCCTAAACCTAGCGCAAGCCAGTGCCAAGCTCGGCAAGTCGGACTTTGGACGTACGCCCCTTTCTTTTATTGACTTTCTAATAAGTTTCCTTTTTTTCGTGGATTCGGAAAGTAGAACAACTGGGTGAAATATCTTTCTTTCATATCAAAATTCCGACGGACCTTTCACTTTCCTTTCTTTTTACCATAAAGAACCTGACAAAGGCTAACACTGACCCCGGGACGAGGCCAAAAAGGGCAGCAAAAAATAGAAGAAGCGGAAGAAAAAGCCAAAAGAGAAAAAATGAAGGGGTCAGCTCTAGTGATTCCCAAAGAAGGACGTGTGTTGCGTTTCCCAAGTGCCATGCCAGCGCATTCCCTAGCAATCCACCAATGGATCTTAAATTGTTTCGTCCCGCGGATGACGGAAATTGCACACCACAACAATGTTTTCGCGTTCTTGTTCATCTTTTATTCTCTGGTGGCACCGATGGATCATGATTATTTATAAGAACTTAAAACACGCAGTCTCTAACACTCGTTGGAAAATTTGAGTTACTATACACCCTTCTCTAAAGTACATCAGGCAACAATGGCGGTCGGCATTCCTCGCCCACGAAGCACGTGATATAATCCGATTGCTCGCAAACCGCTCAAGCTGTACTCGTTTTCGAAACGAGACAAGCTGCGTTTATACCGAAAGCAGCCGCAACCCTCATGTCCAGTACATGTTCAAGCAGTTGCCCAGAGAATGACCGAACAGTTAGCGCAGCAACAACTAGATGGTGCTCATTTTTCAAAAAGTGTCTTTTGAGAAGAAATGAACAGTGCGTGAGCACATCCTTCATCGGCGCTTGAAGTGGACATGTCCTTTTCGGCCATAGCTAGTTTTACTACCCAGAAAGCTGTCTCCAAGAGGTTCCCTGTCTAATCAAGAGCTTCTGTTCGGTGGAAGTTTCGGTGTTTGCGCCAAGGACGCTTTCGGTTTACGCATGAATGGCATGAACCTTCACGTTACCATCAAGACTAAGAGTCCTATCAATCTGACACATACAATTGTCCTTGTTTGACGAGTCACTTCTCTGATGATCCCCGACAAAGCCAACAATTGACATTTACTAACCGTTCCACTTTTCTCCGACGGCACTCTGGATCACCAATGATATCTTCCGAGCACCCCTCCGAACCTCCTTCTCTAACAGCAAATAATTTTCAATCACAATTGAAACCTGATCTTTTACAGCTCTTTTGGACGCTGGTTTTGCTGTCTCTGTGACACACCCGAGTGCATATTGTCAACTACAAAAAATGAACACCCCATTAAGGAACTATTTGTTCCGCACGGCTCCGAATAATCAAATTTAAATTTCTGCGCTTTTTACGGCTACAATTGTAATTTAAGGTCACCCTTACGTCGTGGATTTTATCGTCTTACCAGAGTGTTCACAGCATCCTGCTCGGTTGTGACTTCGTACAAGAGTACCAAGCTATAATAAACTGCGCATACTGAAAGATTTTACTCGCCAAAAACCCTACATTACTATTATCACACAATAAAATAACGTGAAAATTTCTACAACCGATGATGCATAACTATTACCCAACTGCACTTCAATATTCGAAGTAATTACATCACCAGGTTCCTACAGAGATATTTTCCTCGAATCTCACAAAGAACCTCGTTTACAGAAAGGAATAAGCTTGCCATACAGTCTAGCCACTGTTAGGTACGGACACGGAACACTTGCGGCATCTAATATGACTACTCACTTGCTCCTCCTACCCCAAAGACTGCCTCCTACTCGTGGCCAACCTTTCAAGCATTCAAGTACATGAACATTGCTGCGATAATCGAGGAACTATCAAGAACGTTGCTTGGAAGTTTTCCAACAACGGTACCACCCACACAATTACGGAGCAGCATTGAGGATGCCTTGCCCACATTGCGAAAGCAGCAACTTCTCACACTGCTAAATTAATTTTGATCTACTTATGACACGCTATCTTCTCTCGGAAAATCAAGGCTTGTCAAAAATCAAATCAAAACGGACTCCTCAACACCATTTCGACACCCACCGTATCAAATCTCACTGGCTGAGGGCAAGATAATACAGGAACACGTCAACACACATACCCACAGAAAGAGATATTTGACATTCCACTGGCCCTTGGTCCTCATATTTGGTCCTGGTACAAAACAAAGAGTCACTTCATTTCTGTGCTCACTACCGCCGGATCAACAAGATTACAAAAAAATGTGTACCCCATGCCACGTATTGATGACGCTTTTAGTGGTTTACTATTGTCATCCTGTATTTTGTCAATCGATTTTCGCTCAGCTTATTGGCAGATTCATATGCCCAAAACGACAAAAAATAGCCTTCTTAACAGCGGATGGCCTCAACCAATTTAATTCATAGTGAAAAATACAACAGGCCGTGTACTGGTGTGACTTGATGTTAAACCAGACTTTTAAACAGATGCCATTTGGGATATTTTCACACCAACAATCTGGTGTTCTGGTGTAACACCAGAAATCAGGTGTGCTGGTGTGACAACAGCAATCTGTTGTTCTAATGTGACACCAGCAATCTGCTGTTCTGGTGGGACATCAGGTTTTGCTGTGGTGTGATACTAGAGCACCTGTTTACTGGGTGTTCCTTTACTTACAAAAAAGGGTACAATGATAAGTTTTACAACAAACGCTGCTGTCATAATAGCTTCGTTCAAAAAAGCAAAAAGCACAACAAAAAAGCTTCGGAAGCTTTACTACCCCTAATGTAAAATACACCAGGCAATCTTGGCGTGACATCAGAGAATCCTGGTGGGACGCCAGAATATCTGGTGTTCCCATTAGCAAGTCTGATGTATCGAGCACACCAACCTGGTGTGCACACCAGGAATGCTGGTGTACCCGCACATCAGCCTGATGGGTACACCAAGAGAGTCTGGTGTCACCAGAAGGACTCATGTGACGACCAGGCAGCCTGGTGTGCACACCACGCAGTTTGATGTGACACCAGAGTTTTTTTTTACTTCTCCCCCAGTCCGCGCGCGTGTTTTCTATTAGTTTGTGTGCCGCTCCGTCCCCCGACGGGGTGCCTTGTTTCCTCCCGTCTTGGTGGTTGCCGGAGACCCCGCTGCGGGCTTCTTTGTGCTCAAGAAGTGTCCCCCTGGTCCCCAGCACTTTCCCGGGCGGCCTTGAGCAGCTTACGGCGCTCGCCGGCTTGCCTCTTTGAGGGTTGCTCTTTCCCTTTCCGCCGGTATTTTTGTTCAAGTTTGAAAAAGTAAAGAAGTCTTCTTTGTGAGTCGAAGCCGAAAAGATGTGTTGGTGTGCTTTCCTTACTTCCAACAAACTTGGTCTGGTAGCAAAGCAACAGAGGAACTAGTCATTATTACAGTTTTGGGGGCCGAAATACCTACCACGAGCGAGGAGGGCATCAACCGAGCCGCCACAACAAATATCATCAACGAGATTGGCGTCTGCTGGCAACGGATCCAGCTGACATCGGTGAGTTCGAAAAAACATTTGATATTATTCTACTTAAGAAGGCTTTCCTGAAAGAGCTGGATAAGGAAATCGAGCTATTTGTCGAATATGATGCCTTAGAAGAGAAAATTTCTAGTACGGAACGGATCAGCGTAACTAAGACCCGAGTCAACCGCAAGCTGAAAGGCAAAGAATTGCGGAACGATAGGGCGTCCTGTTCTTTGACCCAGGGCAGTGGCTCCGGACAAACTCCAGTAGATCGGGGCGAACTCCCTACAACAGTAAAGCTTCGGAAGCTTTACTGTTGCGTTTTTGTGCTTGTCTGAATAAAGTAATTATGGTAGCCGCGTTGTTGTAAAACTTATCATTGTAGCCTTTTTTTGAGTAAAGCAACACCCAGTCGACACGTGGTCTGGTATCACATTACAACAAAACCTGATGTCCCGCACGAACACCATATTTCTGATGTATCATCAGAACACCAGACTTCTGGTGTAATACCCACACAGCAGATTTCTGGTGTCACACCAGAACACCAGATTTCTGGTGTCACATCAGAAAATGTCCCAAATCACATCTGTGAAAAAGTCTGGTGTAACATCAAGTCACACCAGACCTCGAGCTGGTGTATTTTTCACTAGGAAGCCATCCACACCGACGCTAGCGCTCATGGGATGAGCGCCGTTTTAATGCAGCGACAAAATTC